GTTTCTTGCTTGAAATGGTTGATGATGTGTAGGGTAGAGGCATTTCCTTCTTGAACCAGAAAGTCAAATGGCCAACCTTTAAGTTCCAATTGCATGAAACACTTGAGCCTAGCCTGTTGTCTATCAAGCCAAGAACCACATTTATTCCAATCCTTCAGATTAAAAGTTTCAGATAAGTGATAAGGGATGGAGTGTTCTGTGGGGAGGAAAGTGTTTTTGCAATAAGTGAATACAAGGTGTTGGAAACATAAGAAAGAAAGAAGGAAAAAAAAGAAAAGGTTGTGAAACACAAAGTGTTTGGAAGAGACAGAGGGAAGTATTAAAGACACAAAGTGTCTGAAAGAAAAAGAAAGAAAAAGAATTTTTTTTGTTAAAGACACAAAGTGTCAGGAAGAAAAGGAGGAATAAAGGTTCAAAGAAAAGAACAAGGAATGAAAAGGAAGAAAGTTGAGGGAATTAGGAAGAAATTGATTAATTACTGTGAATTCCCTCTTATCTGAATCTGATTCATTTGATCTGAACTTACCTTTTCACATAAATCCTTACCTCTAGTCAAGCCACACACCAAGTCTCATTGCTAATCATACCAAAACCTTTTTGATCTACCTTATGGATCATTGTTACTGTGGATAGTGAGAAGATGGGCAAGCCTATGGCAGTTTGAGTGCAGTTAAGAGTGAGAGATAAGTACATCCTTAAACACTAGTGTGCAAGAGTGTTAAAATTCTCATAATTTTTGAGAAGTTCCTAGTGAGGGGGTGTTGTTGTTTGGAAGTCTCTGTATATCATCTTTACTGATCTGTTGAAATGTCACAAATGATGTTGGGCAAATCATAGGAAATAAGAGATTGCATGGTTATAATTTTGTATCATGAAATGTTGATCTTTTGTTAATTGAAGTCCATCCTCATGAATTTCATCTGTAAAGAATCTCAAGTGCTTCTCTGTTTTAATTCATTGCTGAGGACAACAATGTTCAAATCTGGGAATTGTGATGACCCTTAGTTCATCAGGTTTTTAAGCATGAATTAATATCAATTTGTGTGATTAAATGGATGAAAAAGAGGTTAATGTCCTGGAAATCTCTCAAATACACGTTCTGAAGCTTATGTTGAAAATTTACATTGTTTTTGTAGGGAAATGAAGCTCAAGAAGCAAAAGAGAGAAGGAAGAAGATTCTGAAGAATGGAAAAATTCTAAGTGTTGGGCGCTAAAACGCCCAAAACTGATCGTTTTAGCGCCCTGTTGCACAAAAGATGCTGGTGTTGAACATTAAAACGCCCAAAACTGAGCGTTTTAGTGCCCAAGACAGTTAAAAGCAGTTGGGCATCCGTCAAGGTTGAGCGCTAAAACGTCCAGAAATGAGAGTTTTAGCGCCCATGTCAGTTTTCAGTTGTAATTTGTAAATTATAAAAGGACAAGGGGCCTTCACATTCTGACATATTCCAGATATCAGATCCAATCCATCATATCTCATTCTGACTTTTCTCATCACACTAGGAGAAGGGAGATCAGATCAGGTCTTTCATAGATCTGATCTGACTCCTCATTTTCTCTGAATTTCCAAATTCCTAGGATTAGTTCTTGTAATAGTTAGTATTTCCTATGTAATTGCACTTGGAGATTGAAGACTCAACTATCATGTCAATGGAGTTTGATCTTTCTTCTCTTGTTTGTATTTCAATTATGTCTTAGGAGAGTCCTTTGTAGTCTGATTCAATGGAACTCAAGTTTGAATTTATGAATGGTTAATTAGATGTTTTGTTTATCTATTATGTGATTGTATGAAGTTGTCTTGATTAATTCTTCATGTTGAGGAATAGTGTAGAACAGACATGTTTACATTGTTTCTCTATTTTTGACAACTTCATCATCAGTGTTCTAGTAGTCAAGGGATTGATGCTAGGATTCTGATGTGATCTTAAGACCTTAGTAATTAATGCATGTATTAAGAAAGGAATCACCAAGGGATTGGGGTTTCTGATTAATGTGTCTATCAGGGTAGTAAGGGATTACATCTTGAGATGATAAGAAAAAGGTTGATCAACATCACATAGTAGATAATTCATAATGGAAATTGGTTCATCTATAAATTCATGTTTGAGGGAAAATGACATCTGACTACTTGTTTACATTATAATTTACATTTTATTTATTTATCAAGTTTTAATTCAATTCAGTTTAGTTTCTGGTGACAAGAAATCTATGCAATCTATGAACTTTTGTTTGATTCAACTTAAATACATATGGTTAGTCAGTGCTTGACACAAATCCTCGTAGGAACGATCTTTACTCATCATTTTATTACTTGTACGACTAGTACACTTGCTAGATTCGCAACTCTCTCTCTCTCTCTCTCTCTCTCTCTCTCTCTCTGATTCAGACGCACGAAGAAGAAGAAGTGGGAAGGCTCTTTGTTTTTTTAACCTAACATAGGTTAAGTTATTTCAACTGGGAAAAGACTTATCTATCTACTCACCTCAATTCACTACCAAACTTTACCCAATGAACTAGAATATTTTTCTAGTAATATTTTTAGCTTCACTTTTACATTTTGGGTAATTTTCTCTACACATATTTTTACCCTCTAATTCCCATTAACTGCACTTTTACCTCGAAAGTGACCCCAGTTTATTTAATTAGGCCTTTTACTTAATTCAACCCACTTATACATGATTAATTACTTCATGTAATTAATTTAAATACTTAAGTTAGGGGTATTATTATACAATGAGATTCTCTCTTGATTGACACACACTTACTTGTATGAAAATATTTTTGGTACATCAAATGTACCGAGCATTCAGTACATTTTTTTTTATAAAAAATAAAAAAAAGTAACACATTTATACTATTCTTGTCTTTATGATTATTTCCTTACATTTTTTTTTTCCATTTTAGGAAATAGATTAGCTACTCCCTTAGTACCGTAAATATGCTCCACTTGTAGAAATCATTTTGTGTCACATCACCATTCTATAACATTTCACAACCACTTACATATATAACTTTTTTACCCTTAGGCATGAATCTTTTGATTATTTTCACTCTGAGTCTCTTGCATATGCTCCTTAAAGCACACAGTGGAATAAACCACTCTACACCTCGGACCAAACCCATGAAAACCCAGCTTAAACAATACTTGATTACTCTTTCTTGGACAGTAGGTCAACCTTGAATCCATTGTCCTTGGTTGAACATTTGACGGTGTCTATGGAAAATTGTAAACATAGTTGAAACCTAGAAAACCACCAACAAAAGCCACACTTTTCCCTATCCTACTCATGATGGCCAAAACACCTCTCCTCCCATAGACACTCTCAACAACAATCTCCTCAGCTCCACCCATATTCTATTGCTCTTAGGCTCGGTTGGATAGATTTTTTTCCCTTCAAAAATTGCTTTTTTTTTTTTGAAAAAAAACTTCTCACAATAAATTTGTTTGGGTGTCTACTTAAAAAAAAAAAAACAGAAGTTACAAAACAAAGAAGCCAAAAATTCGTTTTTTTTTTTAAGTTAAAAATTCTAATTTCTAAAAAAAGCTGAAGTCAAAAGTCAAATATTTAAAAAAAAAACTATTTAAAAAAAATCTAAATAACTTTTGTGAAAAGCACTTCTAAAATAAACAAGGCATAAAAGCTATTTTTTAAGGAAAAAAAAACCAAACAAACAGGGTCATAATCCCTCTACCTAAGAGCTCATCAATAGGGGTGCTAAACGAACCAGGGGCCTTAGGCTCGGCTCGTGAAAGCTTGGGCTTACATGTCTAAAATTGATTGTTGGAATCAGACTTGAACTTGTATAAAAGTTAGTTTAATAAAAAGGCCTCAGGCTCTAATTCAAAAGCTCGGCCTCAAAGCCTTTCAGGCTAGCCTAGTATACTAACCTTTTTTTTTATATTTTTTCTACTATTCATAATAACTCTCTCTCCTCAACCCATTTCACCTCATTTTATTGGTTAAACAATTTTTTTGAATGTTTTTGTTCTATATTATGCTTTTTGGATATACATTGAATTATGAATCTTTGTGAAGTTATTAGTATTGTTGATCATATATTTTGTTTGAATAAATTTTGGTTGTCTTATTTTTTTTAAACAGGCTAACAGGCTGAACCAGATTTTTATTTTTTATAAATAAGATAGGCCACAGGCCGATAATTATATTCATAACAGGTAACAGGCTAGGTTAGACTGACACATTTAAACACAGACTTAGCCTTTTAAGACCAAAGTCGGCTCGACTCGACCCGTTAACACCCCTACTTATCAAGACTCTTCTACGAGAAAATCTCTGAACGAAGAGGCAGATCGCTGACCTCCGACGAAGGGCTCCCCATCTATTGCTTTTGGAAATGCAGGTCAGAAAATTAAATCTTATAATCATGAACTAAATACAAAATTAAAACAGTTATATATCAAATTAGGTTGAGACTGAATCCAAAGGACATCAGATTTGCCTTTCTTTCACCCAAACCATCGAAAATTTCAAGGGTCTAGTCAATTCAAGTCCTTTTGATTCACACGATAACCCAAAACCCTACTCATCCCAATTGTTCACTTTCTTTGCAAAATTAGGAATAATCTACTCATGCTTATACACATACACACGTCCTCTCCCATCTAAACAGTTATTATCATCTAATTATAATTGGTCTCACCTCCTTTTTTACACCTTATACTCTAATTCTACCACCTTCCGCGATGTGAATCTTCAGGTTGTGCACCAAGCATTGTAGCTCATTTAACATATTACCACAAATTCAATTTTACCTTCAAACAATTACTAAAAAAATCGCACAATTACACACCACAAAAAACCTTTGCTTTTTTAGATAATTAAGCTCAGTCACAAAGACTTGTTTGGCGGACTAAGCAACAATTAAGCCAAATAAGTTAATGCCAATTTGGTACGGTTGACAATTCATGATAAGTATAAAAATAAAATAAAAGAATCAACACCAAATTCAATGACTATCATCGTGTTAAAATAAATAAGGTCCTAATCGATAATTTAGAATCACTTTCTTCCAAATTAAGGAAAACTAAACACAAAAGTTGGACTATTATTCTCTGTTTCAAGATTACACGGTTGTTTGTACAAGCTTTTTAATTAGCACTAGATTTTTGTGCCAGGATAAAAGTACTCAACGCTATTTTCCTTGATCTTGAAGTGAAAATTGTGAACCTTAATGGGTGAAATACCACGTTGATGTAGTGCCTCCTTGTCTAACACCGTCAACTGCATAAGATGAATATCAAAACATGGTCAACCGAAGATGATGTGATATGATATGATTTGATCCATAGTTACAGATAGCAGTTGCTATCATAATAATAAAAAAAACTGAACTCAGGAATAGGTGCAAACAAAGGCATGAGTTATTCACAGTTGCTGTGTCAATACTACAACATCATTCAACATTGAGAAGATATACAATAACAATTTCTTTTCTTCTTTTCTCTATATTTTGTAGAGATTGCAAAGCCTTATACATGCACTAACATTGCCAATTAAAAAGGGCAAATCCTAGTACACAAGGCACCCCGACTTGCGAGGGTAGGGATGAAGGTCGATTGCACGCAGCCTTGCTTTTGCATTTTTACATTGCCAATTAAAAAGGGCAAATCCTAGTACACAAGGCACCCCGACTTGCGAGGGTAGGGATGAAGGTCGATTGCACGCAGCCTTGCTTTTGCATTTTTGCAAAAAAACTGTTTCCTGGACTCGAAATCGTGACCTTCCGATCACAAGGAGCAACCTTATCGCTGCTATAAGGCTCGCCCTCCACTAACGAGGCCAATTGTGATACAAAATTTGAGGGATTAAATGGAAAGCTGGAAGAATGAAATTGTGGGTAAGACATGACCAAGACGAAGAAATTATCATTTGCTTTTAAAGGTCTGCATATTAACTGTTATATATAAGTGCTCTGCTGTGTTTTGAGGTTAGCTTGGGCCCATGAAGCAATTAGAACAAACTTGCAGGGAACATAAAAATGAAGACAATTTTCCTTGGTCAATGAGATGTAATACAGAATGAATAACTATGTAAAACAAGGAGCAACCCTTAGAGCTCAGACCATAACATTTAAGTATCGAGAAGAGAATAGAAAGATCAAACATGAGAAACAGACAACTTATCAGAGAGTGCCTTCATGTATTCTAACCTAATATTGCTTTTATTTGAATTTCAACATCAGTACTTCAATTAACTGTAAAAATTGATAAGCTCGTAAGCACTTCCAATTTATTGGTTGAAAGGAAAAGTTAAGTCATTTGATTAGTACAAAAACTCCAGAAAGGATCAGAGGATAGTAAGCTCAAAATATGCTCTTGAAACGAAACTTCATGGAGAATCATAGACATTACAAAAAGGAAAGATCTTGTGGCCAGGTTTGGAAAGCCAAAAGTGGGGTCTTGAGTAGATACACTTTTTCTTAGCTTTAAGGTTAATAAGGCAAGGTGTGCATGTGGAGTAACAAGTGGTCTCTTGATGTCTTAGAAGGAGAAGTTTCCTATTCTGTATTCCATTTACATAAAAGCAATACTGCAATAGTGGGCAGGGTTTATTCAATCAACAGAATGTAATAAAGTAAAATGCCAGTTAGTCAGAGGCTCAGAGCTATTGATAGAAAGATAGGAAATCTTGGTACCCTTCTGGGTGTTACACCAATGTGGGTGTCGATCTCTATCAAATGGAAGTCAAAGAGAGGTAGTTATCAGATAGAAAATCACTTTACTACATCAACATTTAAATTTTTTTTACAATGATACAACTATACCTGCCCATGCACATCTTTTGCCAAACCAGTGGCCAATGGTTCAGCCTTGACCAAAATGTCAGCAAGGTACTCCATCTCTAAGATAACGGCAGGCCTCTCTCCATTCAAATAAATATCCTTATGGTCAAGTGCAATAAATGCACAACCCTGAGACAGGAACAGAGAAATAAAGAACAAAAAACCATTGAAATTGATTTCAAAAACAGCCAATGTAATATCATCTTACACATTCTGATGTTAGCGTATGACAATAATGCAGGAAGTCTAGAACATCATTTGAAGAGCCATTAGCAGCAACTTCAAGAAAAGAGATATCATCTATCATGATAGTGACAAGTTTCATGTTGTCTTGATGTAATGAGCTAATCACTCTTTCGATTTTCTCAAATACACCAGCAAGCCCATCATGATTGGGTTTTCCTTCATCTAGTCATCAATAACATTGATATTAATCAGTCATGTATATAATCCTTCCGACACAATATAAATATCTCCATTTCGTTACAGCCCTAACGTAAGATAAATTATCACAATATATCAAATCATAAAAGGGGAAGGGGAAGGGTCTTGGTTGTGCTTCAAGCACAAAACAGTTAAAAAATGAGTTATGTATGGTATGACATAATTACAAAACCTAAATTTCATGATTTGGACTAGAAAATCACTTCCCATTAAACCCCGACTCAGGAGAATAAGGGTTAGGACAATCCTTTTATGCAGTCTTACCCTTGCATATTTGCAAGGAGATTGTTTCCCGATTCGAACCCTTGACCTCTCAGTCACAAATGAGTAGCTTTATCATTGCTCGAGGCTCGCCCTCTATGACTTACACTATAAGTTAGGCTTATTTCTAATAGTTTTCTGGCCTTATAGAAATTTATGGCTCCAAATTTGATTTCAAAATTTAAGGAAAGACATGGTTTTAGGAATTGATTTTGGGTGTTATATTCAAGGTTTAGTAATCAGGGGATCCTTAAGAAGAGGCCTCTTTCTTTACCCTTGCGTAGGGATTTTACTTGACTTTGCTTTGGTACTCACTACTCAGTCTATTGGCATTTTCAGTGAATTCCCTTTGTTTTCTTTCTTCCTGTCTTATTCCCTTAAAGAAGACCATGTGCTAAGCACCTCAAAGAGGCCTGTTGTAGGACAAAGGGGGTTAGTTATAGTTAAATGTTGGGTTTCTGTTTGGGCTAATGTTGATTTGTACTTGTTAGAATAGATATGATTAGATTACTTCCTATCTGTAAATATTATTCCTTTGTGAGTAGTTCTGGGCTACTCACTTAAGCCCATTAGGGTCTCTATATATTGTAACTCTTTGCATCAGATTAATACACAACATATTATTTTATATTCAAGTTGGTACCAGAGCTCTTTTGTTCTGGGGACCCTCGCTTCCGCTTAGAAACCTTGTTTTCTCTTTAAACCTAAGTCCACTGCTTAGGAGTCCTCTTTCTTTGCCGTGCGTCCTTCCGGAAACCCATCTAGGGCTGTAAGCCCCTTCTGAGTAATTTTCCAAACGCGTCAGCACCTCCGACAGCCACCGGAACCACCGTTCGCCACTGTTTAGCCCACCGGAGAAGTTTTCCAGCGAGTTTTCAGCCCAGACCACACGCGATCAAGACCGTCTCCTCCCGGCGACCAAGTCTGTGGAGGTCCGGTCACCAACGCATCCCTCACGCGCCACCCATCTCCTCTACGCGTGGGCCTCACACGCCACCTTCTGCCGGCGCGTGTGCACTGTTCCGGCAGCTTTTTCTAGTCGGTCTTGGACAGAGTAGCTCACCTCCTCCTCCTCTTCCCGAATCTGTGGTTGGTTCTCTGTGGGTCTGATTTTTTGTGCGCGCCTCTTCTTGATCGATGATCAGGTTCGTTCCTATTTACTCGGTTATCTTTGTGATTTAATATAATGGCAGCAACTTCTCCTGTTCATTCGGAGGTCAGTTCTCAACCTCCTCCGGTCAAAAGTTCTCTCAATATCATCTCCACCAATGTTAGGTCCATTACCTCTTCAAAGTTGAAGGGTTCTGTTAATTACAAGAACTGGGCCACCTCTGTTCGAGTTTGGTTCTTTGGACAGGGACATGGGAACCATCTCACAACTAAGTCTACTGATGTTCCTAAGGAGGAAAAATCTGATTGGGAAAAGATTGACAACCAGCTTCTGAGTATTCTTTGGCAGTCTATTGATCCAGTCGTCTTGGACATCTTCTATTCTTTTCAAACTTGCACTGAAGTGTGGGAGGAAGCAAAAAACCTCTACACTAATGATGTTCAGCAGATCTATTTCATCATCTCTCAGTTTATGGAACTGAGCAAATCATCCGACATTCAGATGGAGACATATGTCGGAAAAAGTCGATCTTTGATGCAAGCATATTTGGATATGTTGCCTTACCCTACTGATGCTTCTGCATATCGGAAACAGGTGGAACGTATCTTTATGGTTGCCACACTTTCTGGTCTCCCCGAAGAATATGATAATGTCCGGGATACTATCTTGACTAGTGGGGATCCTGATCTATCAATGACGTATCAACGTCTTCTGAATCTTAACAAGAAATCTGCTCCTGCATCGTCTGTTGTTGATTCCACTGCTCTGGTTTCCCGTACTGACTTTCGCGGGAACATTGGAGGTGGACGTGGTCGTGGTAGAGGCCAGGGAGGACGTGGCCCAGGAGGACGTGGTCAGCGATCTTGTTGTCATTATTGTCAGCAACTTGGTCATTATGAAGAGCGTTGCTACACAAAGTATCCTCACCTGCGACCTTCTCATGCTGCTAATATAGCTCAATCGGACTCTGCTTCAAATGGTACAGTCTCTCTCTCCTCTGAAGACTATGCAGCATTCCAGACCCTTCTCAGGAAGGTCTCTCCTCAGTCTCAGGCCTCTGCTTCAGAAACTGGTAATCCCGTTGCTTGTGTTTCTCATTCTGCATCACTTGACCCTTGGATATTTGACTCAGGCGCTACTGATCACCCCTGTGGTAATAAGGAACTCTTTTCATCCCTTACATATTCTGATAATTTACCCTCTTTTACCCTTGCTGATGGCACTACGGCTCCTGTTCATGGGATTGGACAAATTTGTCCAACCTCCTCATTGACCTTGACATCTGTCTATTACATTCCTAACATCCCTTATAATTTAATATCTGTTAGTAAATTGATCAACTCTCTTAACTGTATTGTCACCTTCTCAAACCATTCTGTTTCTGTGCAGGACCCGAGTACGGGGAAGACGATTGGAGTGGGCCGTGAGTCACGGGGTCTGTTCTACCTGGTTGTGCCAAGTCTTTCTGTTGCTTGTTCTCTCACAGAATCTCCACAACTCATCCACAGTCGCCTCGGGCATCCTAGTCTTTCAAAATTACAGAAGATGGTTCCTCTTTTATCTAGTCTTCAGACTTTAGATTGTCAGTCATGTCAGCAAGGAAAGCACATACGCTCCTCCTTTGCTAATCGAGTCAATAAACGAGCTGATGCTCCTTTTCCAATTATTCATTCAAATATTTGGGGTCCTAGTCGTAGTTTGTCTGTTTTAGGTTTTTGGTATTTTGTTACCTTTATTGATGATTTTTCACGTTGTACTTGGATTTATTTAATGAAAAACTGTTCTGAGTTGTGTTCTATTTATCAAAAAAATTCTGCTGAAATTCATACTCAATTTGGTGCCTCTATTCATATTTTACGTAGTGATAATGCTAAGGAATATGTTTCTGTGGACTTTTCTAATTTCTTAGCCAAGCAGGGTACTTTTTTACACCAAACTACTTGTCCTCACACTCCACAACAAAATGGAGTAGCTGAACGTAAGAATAGACATCTCATTGAGACTGCACGGACTCTTCTTATTCACATGCATGTTCCTCTTCACTTCTGGGCCAATGCAATCCTTGCCTCTTGTTTTCTCATCAACTGTATGCCTTCATCTGTGCTTAATAATGACATTCCTTATAACTTATTGCTTCCAGATGTTCCTCTCTATCCTCTATCCCCACATATCTTTGGTTGTACCTGTTTTGTTCATGATCTCACCCCTGGTAAGGACAAGTTAACATCCAAAGCCTTTAAATGTATTTTTCTTGGTTATTCTCGTCTTCAAAAGGGTTATCGTTGTTATTCTCCCGATCTTAAGCGTTACTTAGTTTCCGCTGATGTCACTTTTCTTGATCAACAACCCTTTAATTCTATCCCATCTCAGTTGTCACAGGTTGATCATGTTCTTCCTGTCCCTTTTTCTTGACTTGTCTTTGCCAGCTGCAGGTGCTTCTATTCCAGATGAGCAACCTATTGCTTCTATACATGAGGACCGTCCACTTCTCACCTATCAGCGTCGCAAAGCTGTGCCTCCTATCGACTCGACTCTTGCTGACTCATCGCCCACTGCTGTTGATTCTTCTCCTCCGGATCCTTCACCAGAGGCTCTTCCCATTGCTCAAAGAAAAGGTACACGTACTACTCGTAACCCTTATTCTCTTTATACCTTTTTGAGCTATGACCGTCTTTCTTCACCTCATTTCACCTTTGTTTCTAGTCTTTCTTCTGTTTCTATTCCTAAGACCACAGGTGAAGCACTTTCCCATCCAGGGTGGCGCCAAGCGATGCTTGATGAGATGACTGCACTTCATTCCAATGACACTTGGGACCTTGTTTCTGCTCCTCCAGAGAAGTCTATAGTTGGTTGTCGCTGGGTGTTTACTGTGAAAGTTGAACCTGATGGCCATGTTGATGGACTCAAGGCACGCCTAGTTGCAAAGGGTTTTACTCAAATCATCGGCCTTGATTATAGCGATACATTCTTTCCGGTCTCTAAGATGGCGTCAGTTCGCCTATTTCTTGCTCTTGCTGCTATTCGTCACTGGCCACTCCTTCAACTTGACATCAAAAATGCCTTTCTTCATGGTGATTTACAAGAAGAAGTTTATATGGAGCAACCACCTGGTTTTGTTGCTTAGAGGGAGTCTGGGAAGGTGTGTCGTCTTCGCAAATCCTTATATGGTCTCAAGCAGTCTCCTCGGGCATGGTTTAGTCGCTTCAGTTCTGCTGTTAAGGAGTTTGGCTTAATTCGCAGTAAAGTTGACCACTCTGTATTTTATAGGATCACATCTCCTGATAAGTGCATCTATTTGTTAGTCTATGTTGATGACATCATCCTCACCGGGAGTGATCAAGCTGGAATTCGTCAGTTAAAACAGTATTTATTCAGTCAATTTCAAACAAAGGACCTCGAGAAGTTGTGTTACTTCTTGGGAATTGAGGTAGCACAATCTAGACAGGGCAGGGCATTTCTATCTGTCAAAAGAAGTATGCCTTGGATATCCTAGAAGAGACTGGTATGTTGGGGTGTAAACCAATTGATACACCCATGGATCCCAATGTCAAGTTATTGCCCGGACAGGGGGAGCCGTTATCTGATCCTAGTCGTTATCGGAGGCTAATTGGGAAGCTCAATTATCTTACGGTGACTAGGCCAGACATTTCTTTCGCTGTTAGTACCAGTGTTGTTAAAACGTAGTGACGAAACGGTTGAAACGTACGATTCTACGTTTTTTGACTAAAAAACGTGTTGAAACGGATGCTGAAACGGAAAATGAGTTGAAACGGTTGAAATGGCGGGTCAACTCGGTAAACTCGGTTGACTCGGCGAGTTTACCGAGTTGACTCAGTTTAAAAAAAGAAAAAAAAAGAAATGGAGGATAACGGCAAACTCGCTCTCTTCTCTCTTCTTTCTCGGCCATGGACGACCAAGGTTCCAGTAAGATCAACCACAACCACAGTGGCACCGTGGCTAACAACAACAACAACAATGGCTATAGCGATGACGTGTGTTGCCTGACGAAACGAGATCTGAGAAGGTGAGTCCAAAAGCATCCTTCACTCACTGCTTCTATATGTGAAGCAACCAGAAATGCTCCTTTCAGCTTCCGCTTTATGAGTGCCATCGTGAACCCTGCATTGGTTTCCATTGCGAACAGCCGAGTCTTGCCGGAGCTTTTGCAGTTCACCTCGACGTACTACGGAGGAGGAGGAGCTTGGGGCGATAGCGATGATGATGATTCTTCAGCCATCGAAATTCAACGATGACATTGTAACTGGTTTTTTATGGAATTTGTGTGGAGAGAGAGAAGATAACGATCCTATTTTCAATTTCACCGATGATTTTGTATATATATATTCTTTTCTCCTTTTCAAGTTTTCTATAAATATGTAGATAATTCAAAAAATAATTGAAAATTATAAATATATGCATAATATATGTTATTATATTTTAATATTTATTATGATTACTGAATATATATGTTTATATGTTTTATTTTAATATATTTTAAAATTACTGAATATATATTTTAATATTATATGATTACTGAATATGTAGATAATGAGTTATATATTGGTGTGTTTTGATTTTATATATGTTGAATATATATATATATATATATATTTATTTATACTTAGTAAACTCTTAGTAAGTATATTTTGAATATATATATATATATATATATATATATATATTATATATATATTTTTATATATATATATTTTTATATTTAGTAGACTTTTACGTTTCGTTTACGTTTCACGATTTTACGTTTTTGCTCACCCCTACCGTTTCTAGGTAGAAACTACGTTTTAACAACACTGGTTAGTACGGCTAGTCAGTTTCTTGATTCCCCTTGTGATTCTCATTGGGATGCTGCTGTGAGGATCCTCCGATACAACAAAGGAGCACCAAGAAAAGGTTTGTTGTATTCAGATCAGGGAAATACATAAATTTGTGGTTATTCAGATGCTGATTGGGCAGGATCACCCTCAGACAGGTGCTGTACTTCTGGCTATTGTGTCTTCTTTGGAGGAAACTTAATTTCTTGAAAGAGCAAGAAACAACCTGTTGTTGCTCGATCTAGTGCAGAAGCTGAATATTGTGCAATGGCAGTTACTACATGTGAGTTAATCTGGTGAAAGCAGATGATTCAGGAGCTTCGTCTTTGTGAACAGAAACAACCTATGACACTCATTTGTGATAATCAAGCTGCGCTACATATATCCTCTAATCCTGTATTTCATGAGAGAAGTAAACATATAGAGATTGATTGTCACTTCATTCGAGAAAGGATTCAGTCAGGAGAAATCAAGACAACTTTTGTCAACTCTAATGGTCAACTACCGGATGTCTTCACTAAAGCTCTTAGAGGTCCTCGGGTTGAATTCATTTGTAGCAAGTTTGGTGCTCACAATATATACGCACCAGCTTGAGGGGGAGTGTTAGAATAGATATGATTAGATATGATTAGATACGATTAAATATGATTAAATTACTTCCTATCTGTAAATATTATTCCTTTGTGATTAGTTCTGGGCTACTCACTTAAGCCCATTAGGGTCTCTATATATTGTAACTCTTTGTATCAGATTAATACACAACATATTATTTTATATTCAAGTTTACTGTTTGTGATACTGTAGCACAAGTAATTTTCTTTCAACAGTACACTAGTATTGTTCATGCTACTGTGCCATGGGTACTGTAGCAATCTTAATTTATATTTTATATGACTTTTAGTTTCTTTTTATTCAGTTACTTTATACTTGTTACAATTAGATCTAAGGGTTAGGATTTGGCTTTCATAACTAATCAGGGTCTCTAGGCTACATAGAAGGAATTCAAGGCTGTATCAAGGGTTTTAATAACTTATCTTTCCAGCCATCTACTGCTCATTTGGCTGTTCATCATTTGAGCAATTGTTTTGATGAGTTGTCCCTCCAGTAATGTTTTGGATGCCTCATTTTGCAATGTCAGAAGCTGTGAGCTTATTAAGCATCAGCTTTAGGAGAAGTGTTTGTGTTTTGGGAGTCTTGTAACGTAAGTAGTCTTATTGGCTGAGCCTGTGCTAATTGTACTACACTAGCACTTGAGCTAAATTAATGTATTTAAACAGGGGTTTAGTGGTTTATATCTAATATACAAAATTTCTCTCAAGCACTTTGTATCAACAGTATTAATAAATTATGATAAAGAAATTAAAAATAAGACTCAAGTTTTAATTCATAACTATTATAAGACCTGGCTAGATTAGAGTAGACTTAGCTTAAAGCCTAGGGCAGAAAACTGGAATTGGAAAAGTATTCTTGATCCTCTTGGATGCTAATATGAACTACTAAAATTACATAAGTAATATAATAACAAACATTTTTCTTTGAATTAAAGACTTCTTTGAGATATAGGTTTTGTCTTCCATAGAAGTTGAGATTTCTCAGATAAGCTAACAGATCCAAAATAAACCAATCAGATGGCTTCAGCCTTCAACTGATCTAGATAATAGAGAATCATAAAATATATAGAATACTGTTTTCCTTCAACACAATTACTCTTTTATAATGACATGCATTACAATTCAAACAGAGAAAAAAAAAAAAAGGTAAGATAAAAGACTCAACATGGGTGCAGAGTGCAGACAAAATGAGAGTGGCAAGGATTGAACAAACCATGTGTATACACTGCCCTGGTGCAATCAATGTCTGATTAAACATTTTTGTACTTTTGTTGACCAGGGAGTTAGCACACATATTTGGAGCTTTTGTATATACAATTTAGAGGGATTAGACTTCGAAGCAAACAATTTGCAGTTCTTGGCTGCATGTGGTTGTAAAGGGTTGGACAAAGTTTCAAGAAGAGACCTATGCCCTCCCTTTGACTCTCTAATGTATCGGTTGAAGAGGAATGTAAGTTTTCTAAGCAGAGGTCAATGCCCTACCTTGTATTAATGGTTTTTCTGGAGAATCTTTATGTTTGTCTGATGCAGTAAAATATAATCAGCACTTATATAGTTCCTACTCTAAATTCTATACATGATTACAAGGTACACTGTTAACGATAAATAACAACTATCTCAATGAATCCATTCTTAAATCATTTAATTTTGTCAAACAAATGGTAAGAACAAAGTATCAAGGGAATATAAAGAACCAAACATCAATACCTGATTTTCTCACCTGGACACTGCAACATAAGCATGTCAATGAAAAAGAATCTACTATTATCTCTTTGAGCAGCTAAGTTGCAACCCTACCACAGGTACCCGTAAAGATTGTCAAATACCATCCATCAAGAAAATAAAAACATTGTACTTGAATACAGAATAATCTAACAAACAGCTGACTATCATAGTGCCTTTTGCACTATTGTCTTTTAAGACACCAGTATTTAATAGAATCAAAGACATCATATGAAATATAAATATTTGGTCAATTTAGTTTACCAGTTAGTAACAAACATGGGGAGAAGGATTCATTTACAAATTTTTTTACAAATTACACTAAGTATGACTGGTCATGCACTCTTGATTGAAGTATGACCGATCATACTTAACGTAGCTTGTAAGAGTTGTAAATATAATCTTCCCTAATAAATATAGTGTCACCAGAAACTAACTATAGTATTAGACAAGCATGACCACCAAATAAACATTTGAACAAAAATAACAATAGAATATAACAATTGAACCAAAACCCATATACAAAAATGACATAAATCAAACATTTTGATCAAAACACAAGATACCCAGTTCAAGAAAAAGAACAGATGCAATAAAGACAAAAGGTATTAGAAACGACCCTTTTAAAAAATAACATCAAATATTTAAATGCATATACAAAGAGAGAGGAGAAAATACAAGCTTTCTGAGAATGCGATCATAGTGGGAAAAAGGGTGAGAGAAGGCAAGGAAGACAAGGGCAGAAGAAGGATGAGAAGAGAGGGAGCGCTTGAGGATATGGTGAAGAACGAAAGCACCACTCGTGTCAACACAATCCTCCACAAGCACAAAGCGACCACACAGTGGCCATGGCTTTTCCTTCTTGTAATTGTCGTGAATGCCAAGAGCTTCATCTAATAGGTTCAAATCTTTGTACTCCATCTTCTTCTTCTTCTTTTGCTTCTTCTGTTTAATCTCCCGTCTCCTCCTCTACAATACCCTTAACTATTCCCCCCTTTTTTTATTTTATTTTAATTTTAGCTAATTATCCCCTTTAGTATTTCACTAATCATTATGAGTACTCATATTTTCTTTTAGTCAAATAGTTTTTAATATTGAGATGTAAAGTCTTAAGTAAATGGTTATAATTATAATTAAAAATTAAAAATAAATAAGTTGTTAAATGTTTAAGTTTTAAGTGGATAAATTGTTAAAGGAAAAAATGTTTCTCTTGCCATAGAAAATAAAGTCATTTTCTTCAACCAAAAACAATATCATTTTGAGATTTTGAAAAAATAAATAAAGAATAATGTAAAATAATTATATAAATATTATCCTTAAATTTTTCACATTTTGAGTTAAGGTGACATCAAAATAGTTCTTAAGATGTATTAAACTATTAATATCATTTGTAATATTGATTAAAGATAGGTTTTATTAACTAATGTTAGTTTAATTTGATTTGTCAAAATAAGTAATCAGTGTAGAATTGAATAATCAACTTCATTAGTGAAATATTATTTCTAATATGTTATATTAATATTAGTTTTGATAATATATTTATATCTTTCATTCATGTTTTATGGAGGAAAAAAATCCGTTAGAGCCTTAGGTGGTTAACATGCAATGCAAGTGTCAAAATTAATAATTTTATTTTCTTTGAGCAACTTTTCAACTAAATTGATAGGATTTTTTGACTACTGTAGCCTTTAATTAATAAAAAATTATCATTTTGCCCCTCTACCAAAACGTATCATCCATCTGCCCCTATTTGACCGTTGACAGCATAAAATACCCGGGTACATAGGGGGTATCTGGGTATCCTTCGGAAAAATAACACTACCCGAGCACCTAGGTTGGCTACCCGGGTATTGTTCATAATCTAGGTAATAGTATGAATTATTTACCCAGGTAGGGAGGGGGATACCCGGATAAATGTCGAGGGTAGGGTTTTTTAAAAACTCAGCTATAACAACTCTAATTCTCAAACTGTGTGAAATTGGGAGTTTTGTGAGACAACGTGTGAATTTTGTGACTGTTAAGAGAATTCTAACAGTTAAATTATGAAAATATCATGATAATGAATAAAGGGATACAATTTATGCCTAACAACTCAATTAGGACCTAAAAAGAACATAAATTGTGTTTAGAGAAAAAAATACAAAAATTGTGTAACGGAGGAATTTTGGTAATTTTGCAAAGTAGGTCTGAACTGGGTTCTGACAATCTAGTTAAATTCATTGATAAATTCTAAGGGTTATATATGTATCTAATTTAATTAAATGGTGTGTAGAATAATTTAAATAATTAGGTCAAAGATTGATTAATTAAAAAGTCAACTAGTTTAAAAAGTAAGCTTTAACTTTACACATAGGCTTAATCTTTGGCGAAAGATGAATGTCTTTCTTTGTTTGCTATTTGTTATGTGTAATTATATATTTGTATGATTGGTTGGTCAAAGATTGAAGTGTGTGATGTGTAAAGTGAAAATCAATAAGAATTAAGTAATTTTTTTTACATGTAAAAGCCAACTTTTGCGTGCTATGCTTTCTTTTTGAGTGTGTACTATTGTAGGAAAATAATAGTAATTTATAATAAAATAAATTAATAATAGTAATAAATTATAAATTAGTAATAATAATAATAATGTGTATGTGTGTGTGTATATATATATATATTATTAGGATTAGATGATAAATTGTGATTGTTTGAATTATTAATTGATTGATCTTTTATGCACTAATGTTTGATTGGTAATGTGATTGGATTAGGATGAGTTAACAATCTTTATTTGATTAGATATGATGAGTCAACATTGAATCAATAATGAGTTAGCGACATTCTGAGTCATAAGAAATTAAGAATAAAAAGGAAACATTGTATGAAGTCAATATCTGAGTCAGATACATCAATGAAGAATAAGGAAATAATTGCACGAAACCCATATCTGAGCCCAAAACTTCAACTATAAATAGAGACCTAACCAAACCAATTCATTTTTCGGCATTTCTCCTCTCCTACTCCTCTCTTCTTACTTCAAAAGCTTATTTTATTTTATTTTTATATTCTTCTGGTTACCAACCGGTTCTGTGCCCCAAATTATTTTTTTTATTCTAGAAGTTAGCGAAAATGAAGACCATGTAATCTTAATCCGTATGTTCTTTTAGAATATTTTTGTATATGAAATTTGGAGTTCCTAGGTTGCCTTAGGTTATTTTTTTATATATATATGAAATTTTGTATATGTAATCCTAATCCCTAGAAAATTTTAGGATGGTTTCATTTGAAATATGTAATCCTTAGGGTATTTAAATTACTTTTTTTTAAACTTTAGAAATTAATAGGATAAATTATATAATTATTTTGGTATTGATAATTGAATTAAATATAATTATTTAAATTAAATTTTAACCCTTTAATGATAATAAATAGAAATAATTGGATTATTTGATTGAATTATGAATATTGATATGATTGGATTTGAGTTTTGTTTTAATAGATGCTTGAATGATGATATTATTTGGGCCTTACTAGAGATTGAATATTTGGATTATGATTTGGAAAATTATGATATGATTGGATAATGCAAATTTTGATATTCTTGGACAATTGAAATTATACTCTTGATTAAATTGATTAGGAAATTTTCCAATTATAAGAATTGTGACAAGATTGAATTTTGATGATTGTGTGCTTTGGGATTGTACCTCATAAAGTGATGAACACAACCTTTCGGCTTTATGCCTCCGTTATATTTATACGATATGAACATATATTACTCGTTCTTTCCCCAAAGTGGTGTTTGGCATGGTTTCCCGGGATAATAATAGAAACTTTGGAAAGAAGTGTGCACGCCAGGAAGAGATGTTTTGATTATGGCCAATCTGATTATTTGTAACTGGCAGGGTTTCCCCGAGTCACATGGTAGATTGGCAAGATTTTTCGGGTCTATTATGGTTCTCTTCTCACTAAACAAATTTAATAAAAATAATTTATAATAATAGATTTAATTATATATATATATATATATATATATAATGAATATTGAATTATTATTTGAGTCAGCTGTTATTTGATTTCATCTTTTATAATAAGTTATATACTCTTTTTTGATTAAGATAACCAGTCCGCTGACTTTTGTGTTTTGTGTTTGTTTGATTGCAATGATCCTTCGGGGGGGGCAGAGTTTCAGTGAAGCAGTTCGCAAAGTTGGGGCTGGTAGTGAGGATAACATCTTAAACTTTTGAAAATAGACTTAGGATTTACAAATGTATTAGATATATTTAGATTATTAATTTAGATTTTAAATTTTTAAATATTTACATTGAATATATATATTTTGTAATAAGATTATCTTTTAGTTAGCTTTGCACTTGTCCCCGTTACAGGTGCGGCGGTAACATTTCCCCAAATTGATTTTAATTTAGCTTTCGCAATATTTAGTAATCTTATTAAATAATTTAAATGTTATTTTTTAACAATATCTCTATTATAGGAATATTTTATTGTTGTTAAAAATTGTTAGAAATTTTGGGTGTTACAAATATCATCTCCTAAAGTTTGAGTATAGGTGCTGCTGTTGAAGGTTTTGGATGAATGTTTGCTTGATTTTTATGTTGGAAAAATCTTTAATTACTTAAAGGAAGCCATACAAGATAATTGATGTTAATTTTGTTGGTTGAAAATTGATTTGTGAAGCTATGTGTTCTTGTGTTTATCATGAATTTCTATGGATGTTGATTATGTGTTTTGAAGTTATTTGATATTTGATGTTGGTTTATTGTTGGTTTTAAGTCAAATTAATGGAAAAAAGCCAAGGAAACAAAGTGTAAATGACCAAACTTCTATGCATGCAATTTGACCATACATGCTTTAATTATGAAGTTTATGTATTTTGTCATGATGTCTAAGTAAATTAAGATTATTGAATGATGTTTACAAAAAAAAAAGATTATTGAATGATCAATTGTTGATTGATATAAAGGAAAATTGAAAGGAAACTCATGAACCCTAAAATGTATACAAATCGGCCATGAATAATAAATTAGGGTTTTTATGTTTTGATCGATGAAATGAGTGTTTGAAACATAAATTCAATGATTAAATAAGTGAATGGAGTCATTGGATTAAAGATTGAATGAAAGAAAAATAAGAAACCATAACCTATACAATTCGGCTATGTTAGGTTAATAGGGTAATAGCTGTGTTTAATTCATATTGAATGATGTTATATGTTATTGATATGTAATAAAGTGTAATGGAATAATTAGTTAAAGTATTTAAATGTTTGAAAGTGTGGTGACATTAAATGGTCATTTAATTAAGGTATAAAGGACTAATTTGTGATTTGTTTTGTTAAGTCCTTAGTGAAATGTTAAATGGAACATGAAATGAATGAATTAAAAGCATGGAAATGATATGTTTGCATGATGCTAGGGTTCAGTCATGTATGGATTTATATGGTCGAAAAATAAGTTAATTAATAATTAAACCTAGAAACTTAATTAAAGTAAGTTTCAAGTTATTATAAAAAAAAAAAGTAAGTTTCAAGTGTGTTTAAGAAGTTAAATCTCTAATTGGTGATGTTTGTATATAGGTTTAACCTAATGTGAAAGAACAAGTGTTTAAGTTTGGCTTGTGGTATGGGCATGAATTGTCAAGAATGAAAGGTGAAATTGACAAGACATAAGTCTTGTGATAACTTTGGATGTGTGAAAGTCAAATATGATACATATTTGGATAACAGGTGTGAATCAGAATACAGTGATTTCTGAGATTTGACATAGTTACCTATGTTTCAAGCAAGCGTGCTATAGGAGCTTCAAGAGGTAAGCTCTTGGTTTAGGAGGATTTTCCTTTGTGTTGTTCCACCAGGGTCTAAAAGGGTCATGGTTGCTATATCTATGTGTTTGTCTATTGGATTTTGTTAGATACTTAGTGTAGTTGCATTCATATAGGTGATGACATGTGATTGGATTTCTGAGATAACATTATAAATTAATA